GGCGCCGCTCGGCCAGGCCCGGCCCCTCAGCGCAGCCCGGCTCGGCGGCGCCGGCCGCTCCCGCTCCCCCGGCCCGGGCTCTTTGTCGGCGCGTGCCGGCGGGGGTCGGCAGCGCCATGTCCTCCCCCAAGAATGGCTTCTACCGGCAGGACATCACCAAGACCCTCTGGGAAGTGCGGGACCGCTACCGGGACCTGCAGCCGGTGGGGTCCGGCGCCTACGGAGCCGTGTGGTGAGCGGGGCGGCGGGGGCAGCCGGGGGCGGCGGGCGGCGGCCTCTGTCCCGGCGCGGGGGATGCTGCCGGGCCGCTCTGGCGTGTTGCTCCCTGCCAACTTTTCCCGGTTGCTGTCCGGAGCCGGGCTGGCCCCGCCCGGTGCAGCCGGCCCCGCGGGTGCGGAGGGGCGGCTCCGCTGTTCACCTGGCCGCTCCAGGCCGGGCTGTTCCGCCGGCGGGAGCCGACCCGCGGGTCTTCCGTCCCTGGAGCGAGCAGAGCCCGGAGCGCTGCCCCAGCCCTGCCCGGGAGCGCTGCCCGCGGCACCCCGGAGCCGCAGCGTCCCTGGAGCCCGGGGTGTTTTAGCGCTTGGGGCGGGCCCCTCGGTTTGGCTCTGCGTTGGTGGTGGGCTTGGGTGTTTAGTGGGATTTTTTGTCTTATTTTTAGTTTGGGGATTTTTTTTCCCCTCCCCACTCCGCAGATGTTCCTCTTTAAAGCTTTTGATAATTGTCTACATTTCATCACAGAGTCTGGCAGGCTTTTGAACGAATGAGATGGCTGCTGGCTGAGATGCTTGGGGAGGTGGTGTCCCCCCGTGCCGAGGGCCCGGCGCCGTGGGGCTGGATGCAGCCGCTGGCCGCGTTTGCTGGGATTTGCAGACTTGCTTCGGTCCTTGCTCACCGAACTCTTTCCTTTCCCTTAAAGCTCAGCCGTCGATGGAAGAAGTGGTACCAAAGTGGCCATTAAGAAATTGTACCGCCCGTTTCAGTCTGAACTCTTTGCCAAACGAGCTTACCGAGAGCTGCGTCTCCTGAAACACATGAAGCATGAAAACGTGAGTTGAGTCATTAGCTCAAAACCACAGCTTAGGTACTCCAAATCAAAGAAAATATATATATTTGGACATGACAGATGTGTAGCTGAATGGAATTCTGAAATCTTTCAGCCTGTTTTTTTGTCTGCCTGTTCTACAAACATCAGTCACACAAATTAGAATATCCTATGGGAAACACCACTTAATTTCCACGTAGGAAAAATTGGGTGGGGAAGGTTAGGACCACAGTGCAATTTGCGCAGTGCTGGTGAGAGGGATTAAAGACCAGAAATTACAGTCTCTATTACTACGTTCCGTGAGTTGCAGGAGAATACAGAGCCCAGGTCTGTGGGTCTTCGGTGCCAGCATTTTCTTT